ATACATACTGTTCTGCAATTTGATTTTTCAACTTACAATATATTTTAAACATTTTTTCTGGTCATTATTTTTAAAGAGAATTCTTGTTCTTTAATAGACATTTGAGTCATTTCCAATTTTGAAATGATTAGCAATGAACACACACACACACACACACATATATATATATATACACACACACATATATACCTATATGTAGATGTATACATATCTTTGTACACATGAGTGAATATTTTTACAGGATAGATTCCTAGTAGTAGTATTACTGGATCAAAGATATTCAAATTTTCACACTGATGAAGTCATCCAAAAGTTTATACTAGTGTTTCTCAACCTTGGTACATTTGGGACTGGATAATTCTTTGTCGTGGGGCTCTAGTGCACATCCTAGAATGGTTAGCAGCATCTCTGGCCTCTACCCATTAGATGCCAGTAGCATCTACCCTGTTGTGACAACCAAAAATACCTCTATAGATATTGCCAAGTGTCCCTTAGGGGGCAAAATTACCTCAGATTGAGAACTACAACCCTGGATATTTGTTTTATTTACCTTTATTTCTTTTTCTGTCTCCCTTTAAACAACTTCTCATGTTATCCTTCTTTCATAAGGGAAACGTGCTTAAAGGAATTCGTGATTTAGTAGATATCACCCTTCTATTCGGGGCTAAATTGTGTCCTGCAAAATTCACGTGTTGAAGTCCTAACCCTCAGTACCTCAGAATGTGACTGTATCTGGAGACAGAGTCTTTAAAGAAATTATTAAGTTAAAATGAGATCATAAGGATGGACCCTAATCCAATATGACTGGAGTTCTTATAAGAGGAAGAAATCTGGACACAGACTTGTACAAAGGAAAGACCATATGAAAATTAGGAGAAGACAGGCCCCAAAAGGAGAGGGGCCTCAGAAACCAGCCCTACCAACACCTTGATCTTGGACTTCCAGTCTCCAGAACTGTGAGAGAATAAATTTCTGTTGTTCAAGCCACCTAGTCTGTGGTACTTTGTTACGGCAGTCCCAGAAAACTAATATATCCTCCCAGTGTATTTGAATTTTAAATAAAGAATGACCAAAAGAGGCAATGACTAATCCAAAGGAATAACTATCTAACAATGGGTTTTGGTGCCGCTGATAAGTTCTCCGAGAGGCCTCAAATCATTCTACGTAGATTTAAACATGGGGCTGCTCTATTCATCCTCTTTTCTACAGCAGCTTCTCTGATGAATAATTACTAACTTTTGTAATCTCAATGTCAAATTTCTTTAATTTTTAAGGTAATTATATCAATTCAAAAGAAAAAGAAAAACCAACCCAGATGAGCAAGTCAAGCGATGATTAGAGATCAGGAAAAATTAAATGAATTAGGGGAAGTGAAGTGTGTTGTTTTAAAAACATTATATTTTTAATTGCACAAATGATATGTGTACAATGTAGAAAACCCAGACCATGCAAATAAGCAAAGAAGAAGAAAATAAAAATCACCTGGAATCCTTCCATCCAAACGTGATCACTGTTAAATATCGTGGCATAGACTCCCAAACTTTTCTCAGTAGTATGTGTGTTGATGGATTTATGGATAGATACACATGCATATTCCCCAAATGGGATTCTAATACTGTAATACTTATACTTATTTTGTCTGCTGTTTTTCTCACTCAATAATATACTAAGAACATTAGTCCATGTCAGTAAATTATACTTCTTAAAATGGTTATTATTAGCTGCTTTTGTCATGAGAACTAAGTAGAGCCACAGGAAAAATGATGAAATTAAAGGTAAATCAGTGCCCCCAGTCACAATGGAAACTAGAAGACAGATAGCTACAACATTATTTTAGGAAATCACAAACTGTCGGGTGAAGAAAAAAGGATGAGGTCACAAGAAAGACTAAGAGGAGGAGATATTTGTACAGGATGTGGAAAAGACAAATTTATATCCCTCCTCTAACAGAGTACAGTGTTCCCCCAGCTTTGCAAACAGAGAAGTGCAGGTCATCCCCTCAGTTCACTATAGGATATGTCGGCCATTGCTTACTGAAAACCACTCCCCTTGAAAAGGCAATTAAAGCTCCCAGTGACATCCTTGACCTGCCCTTTTCAATATTGTCCTAGGGAATCTGATATCAGGGTCTTGCCAGCACAGACAACCTGCATGTCAATTAGGAAGAGGGCTCCCCCACTACTGGCTCTTCCTTCAGACACTGCAGCCCTAGGTTAGAGCATAGGACTTGCAAAGAGAACATCTGTTGGTTTCAGTCCCTGCTCTGGCTGTTGGCCAGGTAACTTTGTGCAGAGAGGTATCTCATACAATAGGCCTGTCTTATACGGTCCTGCTGACCCACTTAAACTTCCACAGGGCATATGCAAAAGTACTCTTAATCTCCCTATCACATTCTGTCACCTTGCTCAGTTCAAGAACTTCTCTGCCTCCTCCACTCCTAGTTCCTCTGAACTAGGCCAGTGGCACATAAACCATCATATAGGGCTTTGTTCCATAATAAAAAATTATTATAGCTACAATATTTCAAGTGTTTAGGTCTGTACCAAATCCTGTACTGAGTGCCTTACATGCATTATTTTATCCTCACAACAATTTTATGACATATGTTTAATGACTATTCCCACTTTATGGATGAGATTACTGAGACCTGAGAGAGTAATTTGACTGAGCTAATGCCACAGATAATGAATAGCAGGGACTCCATTCTGGTTGCCTGCTTCCCACAAACATTTCCTGTGCAACTTCTCTGTGAAAAGTGGTGTGCTAAAAGCAAGAGAAAAAGGCAGAAGGAAGTCCCTTCCCTGAAAGAGTTTACAGTTCAGTTAAGTTTAGAAAGAAATATGACAAGTACATAACACACCAATATAAGGCACAATGTGCTAAGGCAGTGTGAAAGGGTCAAAGTTCTTCTGTGTCTATAGAGATGGGAGAGCCTTTTGAGGGAGAGACGGAATGTGAGATGGACTTTAACAAGAGTTTCGACAAAGGATACTTGGGAGACAGCATTTAGAGTCAACAGAGTAAAGGTATGGAGGAGAACATAGACAAAGAACAGCAAAGAGTCTTGTAGAAGTAGAGTTTAAGAGAGTTGTAGCTGATTTAGCTGTACCATTATGTGATCAGTACCTAACTGAGGAGCTTGGATTAGCTGATGGGGCATATGGATGGGATTTGAGTAGGGTGATGGCAGGTTTGGGGCCACAGCTTATGAAAACTAGTTTTGTAGATGCCTGTGTTATAAATTGGCATAGATAGCAATGAAAATTAAAGAGACTAGTTGGGAGGACACTTGTAATTGACCAGGGTTTCTCAGCCTCAGTACTATTGACATTTTGGGTTGGATAATTATTTGCTAAGTGGGGGTTGTTGTCCTTTGCATTTTGGTTGTTTAGCAGTATCTCTGGCCTTTACCTGTTAAATGTTATATTATCACCCCATTTCCCCAAAGTGTTCCCTGGGGAGGCAAAATCGCTCCCAGTTGAGGATCACTGTAATAGACCATGTGAGAAATAAAAGGGGTAGATATGACACCTGGGAAGGGGTAAAATCTAAAAGCTTTGGCAAGTGTTTGGATAGGAATGTCAGCGAGAAAGAGGATTGAAAGAGCAAATAGAACCACTGAAAAGGCCCTAGAGGCCATGTAGTCCAATATGATCATAACTGGGAGGGAGTTTGGTAAAACCTGTTAGAAGTCACAAAAATTATCCTGCCTTTTGACCCAGCAATTCCACTCCTGAGAATTTATTGTAACTGATTCAAATGAAGACAATCTTTATGTATAAAGCAACAATAGTAACACGGAGACTGACAATTGTGAAATAAAATTCATATTTTATGGCAAGGCAAGAAAAATTTAAACATAAAAATTTTTCTCTGCCTTTTGGCCTCCCCTCCTCTTTACACTGTGCATTGTATATCTTCATTATGCCTCTACCGAATCTCCTCCATCAGTAGAAAAACTTGTTCAACCATAAAGAGCAACATTCTCCTAGCATCAATAAGACAACTCCTTAAAATAAAACACTCCATGATCTTGCAAGGGGCCATGATGACGCTTAGATCTGGATTGTGTAAACTGTCAATACAATGTCGTTTAATGTACAACCCTCTGTCTTAAAAAAACTTGTATTGTTTTTTGACTTCTAACGGGTAGAGCAGTCCTTGGAGCTTTCTGAAATGCTGTTCCCTGGTTATAATTCTCAGTTTGGCTTAAAATTTTCCATTTCTTTCTTACATGGACTAATTTCTCCTGGACACCATGTTCTCAACAACTGCACCCTCATGCCTACCACAGTGCCTGTTTAATGAGGGGCCCAGATTTGAGAAGTGGATTTAAGATTCAGAGAAGGTGAGACTGAAGATTCTGGAGAGAGAAGCTGTACAGAATGAAACAAAATCCCAGAGGGCGTGAGAAGAGCAAATTTCAAGAATCCAAGTATAAAAGTCCGTAGCTTTGTGTGTGTGTGTGTGTGTGAGAGAGAGAGAGAGAGAGAGAGAGGAGGAGGAGGAGAGGAAGGTAATACTACTACGTAAGTTAAAGTTTAACGGAAACGG